TAGAAAACAGGATTATAGAATGAAGAGACAAAATGCAACCAGGCATCGTTAATTCAAGAAGGGAGGGGGAGAGCGGATGTCATCGGGAAACTATTATTCGTGAAGAGGTGAGAGAGAGGGTGACGGCCAGCACCCGGGAGAGAGAGGGTGGTACCCGGGAGAGAGATGGTGGCACCCAGCACCCAGGAGAGAGAGGGTGGCACCCGGGAGAGAGATGGTGGCACCCAGAGATGGTGGCACCCAGCACCCGAGAGAGGGTGGTACCCGGGAGAGAGGGTGGCACCCGGGAGAGAGATGGTGGCACCCAGCACCTGGGAGAGAGAGGGTGGTACCAGGGAGAGAGATGGTGGCACCCAGCACCCGGGAGAGAGAGGGTGGCACCCAGGAGAGAGATGGTGGCACCCAGCACCCGGGGAGAGAGGGTGGCACCTGGGAGAGATGGTGGCACCCAGCACCAGAGAGAGAGGGTGGCACCAGGAGAGATGGTGGCACCCAGCACCCGAGAGAGAGGTGGCACCCTGCACCCAGGAGAAAGAAGGTGGCACCCAGTACCTGGAGAGAGAGGGTTGGCACCAGCACCCGAGAGAGAGGGTGGCACCCTGCACCCAGGAGAAAGAAGGTGGCACCCAGCACCCGGAGAGAAAAGGGTGGTACCAGGAGAGAGATGGTGGCACCCAGCACCCGGGAGAGAGAGGGTGGCACCCAGCACCAGGAGAGAGGGTGGCACCCAGCACCAGAGAGAGAGGGTGGCACCCAGGAGAGAGAGGCACAGCACCCGAGAGAGAGAGGGTGGCACCCTGCACCAGGAGAAAGAAGGTGGCACCCAGCACCCGGGAGAGAAAGGGTGGTACCTGGGAGAGAGATGGTGGCACCCAGCACCCGGGAGAGAGAGGTGGCACCCAGCACCCGGGAGAGGGTGGCACCTGGAGAGAGATGGTGGCACCCAGCACCGAGAGAGAGAGGGTGGCACCTGCACCCAGGAGGGAAGGTGGGTAGAGAGGTGGCACCCAGTACCCGGGAGAGAGGGTGGCACCCACCCGGAAGAGAGAGAGGGTGGCACCCAGCACCCGAGAGAGGAGAGAGAGGTGGCACCCAGCACCCTGGAGAGAGAGAGGGTGGCACCCAGCACCCGGGAGAGAGAGAGGGTGGCACCCAGCACCTGGAGAGAGAGAGGTGACACCCAGCACCCGGGAGAGAGGGGGTGGCACCCAGCACCCTGAGAGAGAGAGGGTGGCACCCAGCACCCAGAGAGAGAGGGTGGGCCCAACACCTGGAGAGAGAGATAGGGTGGCACCCAGCACCCGGAGAGAGAGGGGGCACCCAGCAGAGAGAGAGGTGGCACCCTGGAGAGAGAGAGGGTGGCACCCAGCACCAGAGAGGGCACCCAACAGAGAGAACACCAGCACCCGGAGAGAGAGCACCCAGCACCCTGGAGAGAGAGGGTGGCACCCAGCACCCAGAGAGGAGAGAGGGTGGCACCCAGCACCTGGAGAGAGAGGTCAGGGTGGCACCCAGCACCCTGGAGAGAGAGAGGTGGCACCCAGCACCTGGAGAGAGAGAGGGTGGCACCCAACACCTGGGAGAGAGATAGGGTGGCACCCAGCACCCGGGAGAGAGAGGGTGGCACCCAGCACCCTGGAGAGAGAGGGTGGCACCTAGCACCCTGGAGAGAGAGGGTGGCACCCAGCACCCGGGGGAGAGAGATAGGTGGCACCCAGCACCGGGGAGAGAGGTGGCACCTAGCACCCTGGAGAGAGAGGGGTGGCACCCAGCACCCGGGAGAGAGAGAGGGTGGCACCCAGCCCTGGAGAGAGAGAGGGTGGCACCCAGCACCAGAGAGAGCACCCACAGAGAGAGGGGTGGCACCCAGCACCCTGAGAGAGAGAGGGTGGCACCCAGCACCCGGGAGAGAGAGAGGGTGGCACCCAACAGGAGAGAGATAGGGTGGCACCCACCCTGGAGAGAGAGAGGGTGGCACCCAGCACCCGGGAGAGAGAGAGGGTGGCACCCAGCACCCGGGAGAGAGAGAGGGTGGCACCCAGCACCCGTAAGAGCACAGTACCACACAGACAAATACTATCTCTGCACCACACAAGACACTCTGTACCTTTTAGACAAACAATGTGCCACGCAGACAATCCCAGTACCAGTTAGCCAGAGAGAGAGAAATAGAGAGAGAGAGAGAGAGAGAGGGGGGGGGGCGTACCCTATTATAGGTTAGGTGGAGAAGAATAAGTTTTGATGAGTCTCACTTTCTGCAGGTCAAGAAGGCCACTGAGAGGGTAAAGTGGCTGCCATCGGTCCCTTATAGACAACAAAATAATAATGGCTCTCTCTTATATCCTCGTCCTTTAATATTTTGTTTCCCTTTTTCCCCACCGTCCTGCTTTTTATTCATCCTTATTCATTTTATTCCCCACTTGTATCTTTCTTATCTCTCTCTCAACCTATCTTCATCATTTTCAATTATACGAGAATCAACCAATTTCAACACCTTTTATAAGATTCTATTCCACTGTTCCTGCTCTCACTAAGATAGCTCAGTTCCCTCTTCTTCCCCTTAACGGTGTGTGTGTTAGGGTCATGTTACCCCTCCCTTCCCTAGCCTCTTCACAAATAATAGCTTGTCAATGGTGTCTGGGGCTTCCTCCTGATACTCTCTCTCTCTCTCTCTCTCTCTCTCTCTCTCTCTCTCTCTCTCTCTCTCTCATTTACCTCATTTTTTTCATATTTCAAGAAAATTATTCCACGTGTAAGATTGTGATGATGCTAAACCAATAAACATTAACTGGTAACCTTAACTACTAACGCAGATTACTGTTATTTTGTTCCCTAAGTGTACCAACTATCCCTGACTCCTGAGGCTTAGTATCGACCACACCACACTACTAACCCGCCACGCTGTCTCTCACGTGTTCCGTCTGAGACTCTCTCTCTCTGCTAGCCCGGGGGGGGGGGAAGGTCACCATCACTGGGGGGTGTTAGGATCCCATTAGCCTAGGGAGCGAAAAACACCATTTATCCCAGGAAGTGTGAAGCTCAAGAGCATCTGGGTCAAGGTGAGTCTCCGCAGAGAGCCGCCAGCATGCCAGCTACTACCCAGAGAGGAACTATAGAACACAACCCCCAGGCGCGTCACTCTTTCACTCAAGAGTTTAGTTTTTGCGTGCATGATAAATTACGGCCACTCAAAGTATTGTTTACTACGGACAGACTTTCAGCAGCCATAGTAGTAGTAGCGTTTGATACTGAGCTCAAATATATGAGAGTTTATGAGACAGATATGAGAAGTGATGAAACAAAGCAGAAGTCGAGGTGATGAACATGGAAGAGGTGCTAGTGATGAGGGAGAGAGTGTAAAGGATAATGATGGGGAGAACACGTGATGAGTGAAGGCAATAAGTGCGACCTGTGTTAGTGGTGGAGAGAGTGACGGGAAGTAGAGTAACATTGGCTAGTAATGTACATGATAAGTGGGAGAATAATATAGCCATAATCTGAAAGCTATATACCAATACTGACTCGTAATATAGAGAAATAACAGAGAAGTATAGAGTCAAATCTTCCTTATCAAGTGTACTTCTGCTATAACTAACCTTCAGATGTCCAACAAGTTCTCAAAAAAAAAAAAAACTCGTTAAGTAATCATCATAATCATTACACCGTTTCTTAATATTATTAGTAATATCTGTAAGTAATCCTGTGTTACGTCTACCTCCAATACTGAACTAATGATGCAGGTAAAAATTCCTATATTGTACAGTAATATAAAATTCTAGTTGAACTTTGTGTCATGTGAGAGTGTTCAACCTGTTATGATTTTTGTTAATTCTAATAAAAAAAAATGATTGGGAGGAGGTACAAGAATTCTACCTGGGGGACACACTACAGTTTGAGTCTCGACTTCTGGACACCTGGCCTTAATCATCTTTTTCAGGGACAAGAACTTGGAGATATACTAAAATAAATAAATAAATAAAAACATTATCTCGATCCAAAACGATGAAGGTTTCTTTTTAGTATTAGGAATCGAAACAAAACCAACTTTCTATTAACCAAACACAACACCTGACTTACTGCTCAGTACACAACACCACCTGAGTTATTAATTGGAATTATCTTATCTTCAACTCTCGCCTAAAGACTAAAAAAATAAGCAAACTTAAGTCCAGTGGAAAGAAAACCTGTTATATTTTCTTTCCACTGTACTTTAGGCTCAGCGCTGGAATGTGTACAAATAATAAGCGAACTTAAGTCCAGTGGAAAGAAAACCTGTTATATTTTCTTTCCACTGTACTTTAGGCTCAGCGCTGGAATGTTTACATAACTGTCTCGCTACTTCCTCATCTCCTCGGCCCGGCGCTCTTTCTGGTGATAACTTTTTTAACCATCAGATTTGTTCCCTCAATTTGTTATTCTCGAGTCAGTTATCATCAATACAATAGATCGCTTTTTACAGCGCTCATCAGATGTATGAACCTTTTATATGGGATATTAATTTATCTGAATATTTAAACAAATGGTTATAATATCAAGAGTACTGCAAGGATGAGGGAGAAGGGCTCTGAGAATGCATCTGGCTGCCTCTGTTGCATCACAATTTATCTCGTAGAAACAATGACTACAGCTCTACCAGTATCTCACCTGTTTAAAAAAATTACATGGTGTGATATGACAGTTGTTTTGAAAGTGAACTTATGGTCAGTAATGCGATAATAAGTCCCAATGTTAACACAGGTCATCAATATAACAAAATGCAAAAGGACAATTCATATCTTGCTCACAATATAAAACTTTTCAATAAATTCTGTCAAGTTTGTCGTGTGTCTTGTTTTCGTTCACGTTACTAACAATATTTAGGGAAACAGGTAAAGCTTATCGTTGATTAGCTGGTTTACCTGTGTATTCACTAGCTCACCTGATACTAGAAATAATGTCATTTGCTACCAGAAACGTCTTGGAGGAAGGACTATTACAGAATGAGAGGTGGAAGGATAAAAGGGATGGACTCTACTACTTACTCAGTCTCGTTGTTCTCGAAGACAAGTTCGCCTTCAGCTGCTTCGTAGTCCTTGCCGGCCTTGGCTGTACCGTCTTCCGTCTTGTAAGGCACAGTGACGCGGCCACGTGCACCAGACCAACGCACAACCTTCAGTTCGTATGTTCCAATAGACTCCACGATTTCTATGTCCTTTTCGCTGACGTTGAAGATACCACCGTGATCATCGTCGAGAATCATAATAGTGGCGACGTATGGAGCAGCCAGTTCCATCTTGACAGGCTTGTTGGGTTGACCAGCAGCACCGTTGACAGCATGGGTCACGGCTGTACCATCAGAGAGCCCAGGCGCATGTTGGAGAGACGGACGTAGAAATGTTCATCTTCCTCGAAAACTTCGTCGTCGATGACTTCCAGGTTGAAGGTTTTCTGTGTTTCACCTGGCAGGAAGACCAGAGTACCTTCCGCACCTATGTAATCGCCGCCAGCATTTGCTGTGCCGTCTTCAGTCTTGTAGTCAACAAGAACAGTGGTGTTGAGATCCCCTCCTTCACGGACTACAGTCACTTCAAAAGTACCCACGTTCTCCATCACGGTGTAGTGTCCAGGGTCGAAGAAAATACGGATGGTGTCCTCTGTCTTTTTTCAGTGTCGTCTTCCTTTTCTACCTTAACCTCCTCTCTCGCTTTCTTCATGATGTTACCACCACCAGTCAGCTTCCTGGTGGCCTGGATACGGTAGAAGGCACGAGACTTGGGGCCACGGTTAATAATTTCCTCGCGGGCCATAGATTCTAGGTTTTCCATGGCATAGGTGCTTTGGGCAGCTCACGAATAACAGCCATGTACTCCTTGCGATGTTCCTCAAACTCCTTGACAGATTCGTCTACATTTTCTTCAAACAGGGGTCCTCCTTCTTCCTTCTTTCCCAACTCGACATCGGTGCCTTCAGTTTCAATGATAACACCGCGCTTGCCCATACGATATTCCTTTGTCAAGTACTTGTAGAAGAGAAGACGACGATCAGCGATGTAGGCAAGAACAACAGTAATGGGGAAGAAGAGGAAGGTCAGGAAGGCTTCCCAGAACTCCACGATACCGTAGGAAATTTCAGCCAGGATAAGATACAGCCAAATATAAGCGAACACGGAGAAGAAAGCAGTGATAAAGAATACGCGGAGATGCTTAATGTATCTCACCTCACCATCAGGGATAACATATACGCAGATACCAATGATGACAAACAAGTTGAAGGCTGCGGAACCGACGATGGTTCCAGGACCGAGATCTCCGGCTTCGAAGTTTGTGGCGAACATTTCAACAACGGACAACAGGATCTCAGGACAGAGGGCCGGGCCATGAGCGTGAGGTTGGCCACAGTTTCATTCCACACTTGGACTACAATGATCTGCGTCTCGCCGTTTGCCTTTTTCACTGTCACTTCCTTCTCTTGCGAAGTAATCATTTCAATGGAACCCATGAAACGATCAGCGATGATGGACACACCGATGAAGAGCCACACCATCGCCACGAAGTAGACAATGGCTCGGGCCACTCGGTCGCCAGTAGTTAGGTTTTCCTGGGGTGACCATAGTGGAATAATGAGACCGTCGAGACATTTTCCAAACGCGTCAGTATCGTTTCCTTCAGCAGAGACTGGACTGCAAAGAGTAAGCACTAATACACTCAGACCTAACAAACGCATTCCCCAGTGGGGAGAGCAGCTAGCTCTGTGTTCAACCATGGTGCCGGTTGTACTGGCTATCACCACACCACACAGACACTGGGCACAGAAGAGGAGGAAAAGAAACTGTTTTGGGATCAGAGGTTGGCTCTCGTCATGACGTCTGCCACTGTCACACTCAGTCACGGGCCGGGAGCTACACGTCTCCACACACAGCGCGCCACCAAATGGTTCAGGGGGCGCGCCGCCCAGCCAGAACAGACCAGCGCAGGCGCACCAGACCGGGCTGCCACTACTCACCAGGCGACCACACCAGAGTTTGAATTACTATACGCCACTACATCTAATTTCATCTCAACACCTAAATCACGATCTCTTGCCTATATTTTAGTGCTGGACGTTAACGGGTAACTACGAGAGAGCGGTTAATCAGGTTAAGTTAATGTAACGTGAGCGCTGGAGTTGGCTACGATGACCCATGCATGGGTAGGTGGGGAGCACAGTGGCACCAATACCCAGGGTATTTTTGGGCACCAGGGAGTTCACACTGGTGGGGGCCAACACTCAATACGCCAGTTCTTTTACACTCCTGCCCAACACTCTCTACACCAGCTCGATTACACCCATCACGACAACATTTACACAGTTGATATACCCTGTACGTGAATTACCAGTCGTCTCCATAATTATTTCAGCATCTTGTAACCGCGATACATAACCTCTGTAGCAACGCTCTCTAACACTACATAACCACTGTAACAACACTCCAACACTAATACATGTAACAATACACCTTTCACCGTTACAGCTCAACCTCAGTACTCTGTAACCCACCCGACCCTTACTACACCCCCCCTCCTCATTTCTATACGTCACAACCCTGCCCTAACCCATATACAGACTCTATACCGACTAAGTTACAACCTTATACCATACCTACATTAGAGTCATTATCACAAGAAAGTCTCCTTCCCTACACACTTCTACAAAACACAAATTCCTTTCTTGATATCTTACAGCTGAATCACACGGGCCAAATACTGTATCTGAATCATTACTGCTCACTGACCTATACTGTCAACCTCATTCACGGCGGAGATTCACATATACCAGAATTAAATGTTTTCGTCTAAGGAATATACAGTAAACACTGTCATCTCTACAGCCACGTCCTGATGCTATTTCTTCAACATTTCTCTTTCTACGTTTGTGGATAAGACGCTATTTTATTTTTACATTAAGAGGCTAAAGAATCTTAAGTCCTTCCTCTAACAGTTAAATTATAATGACATATATGCTTACTCTAACAGCCAGCCCAATGCTCCACACCCGCTATAACAGCCAGATCAATGCTCCACACCTGCTACTCCAACAACCAAACCAAAGCTCCACACCTGCTACTCTAACAGCCAGCTCAATGCTCCACACCCGCTATAACAGCCAGATCAATGCTCCACACCTGCTACAATAGCCATACTAATGCTTCTGCTACTCCAACAACCAAACCAATGCTCCACACCTGCTACTCCAACAACCAAACCAATGCTCCACACCTACTACAACAGCCATACTAATGCTCCACACCTGCTACTCCAACAACCAAACCAATGCTCCACACCTGCTACAACAGCCATACCAAAGCTCCACACCTGCTATAACAGCGGCTCAGCCTTAGAAGCAACTGATACTTTGCCAAATAGATTCGACTTATTCTATATCTGTAACTTCATGATAATTAGTTAACTTAAGGTAAAATATTGTTAGGTTAGGTTAGGTAAGGTAAGGTTAGGTTAGGTTAGGTTAGGTTAGGTTAGGTTAGGTTAGGTTAGGTAAGGTTAGGTTAGGTTAGGTTAGGCTGGTGATGAGTCTTTTCATTTATAGTTTGTTTTATGGTTGTCTATATAATCCTCTATATACAGGTCAAAAATATTCGGAAAAATATAGAAAGTGTCCCTGTAAGTCTATCACCCCACAGACGCGTGATGTATTGACAGTAATCAGCATATAATGAGTGTACTGTAGAGGTAATCAGACACCGTTACTTTGGTTGGCTACACTTGACCTTAAGTGTTAAAACCCTTTGTAACTAAACAATAACTATTCCGTAACGTCACTGGTAAAGGAACTTTTTCCGAACGTACTGTACTATTAATTGTAAGGTGTGCGAGGATGGGAAGGTTCCTTCCTCTTCAAGCTGCATTCTGTTCTGTATGACTTGGCAAGGTCACAGGAACGTGTCATCCTCTTTATTACTTCTATATTGAGACAAGTTTTGTTTATCAACAATGATCGTATACTTTAACATGTACCAGCCACCGATGACTACCATCTCCATGTTCGTAGTAGTGAAGAGTGTGTGTGTGTGTGTGCAGTTCCTCGAATATCCACACACTATTGTTAACGACTTGGAAACATTATTGGCAGAGACGGGCACAAGGACGGTGCCTGTTACAGAGGTCCTCATGCTTGTCTCGGGAGGCTCGTCTATTTGAAACTAGGCTGAGTGCTGTTCCATGTTCGCAGTCAACAATAGTACAGTAGGAGTACCTCCCGGGGAGCTCAGTGTGTCTGTCGTCGTCATTCTGTCGAAAATTTGAACACTGGTGAGAACCATCACCCTAGTTCATATTATGGCCACTGCAGTATTTAGTCACTAATATTGTATAACAAATAGATCTAACTGCATAGCAACGGTTAGAACTATGGCTGAGTTTTGAACTTGTTATAAACTTATCAGCAGTTACTCCGTCAAAAGTGTGGTGTGGCGGCCGAGTTCATTGTCGACGACGCCTCATCCTTTCGTACAGTACCTCAGGACTTAGACTATATTGTGTTCTGTATCTACACTTGGGTCATCATGACTATGGGACCACTTTGACTTTCCACTCTGACAACGAAGATAACAATGTCATATGTTAATGATTGACGACCCATTTGTGCTTTTACATAGGGCGTGAAAATAGGTTCCATAGACCTGACTCGTCACCAGGAGAAGTTAGGATAAAGCAAACTGTATAGTGAGCCTTCGATACACAAGGAGGCAGTGTGGCCAGTACTACACTCGACCTCCTTCTCATCCCCGACTGTAAAGTTAGGCACCCAAGTACAGCTGAGTGAACTCGAAGTGCCTTGGATGAGACCTAGGACAGGAAGTGAACACTATCCACTCGACCGCAGCACCTGAGGGGAATTATTGGACCACTGATTCGGTTTATTTTGTAGTTCATCAAAATGTAGAAATCAACACTTATAATTCTCGTTACCAAAGCTTCAATAAACCATTAAAAAACCCGTAATACCGCGTAGTTCAACAGACTGAACAGCTCGTGAATTAGTTATAAATCTAACAGGCTGTAAAACCAAAACAGGTGATATAAAACTTAAAGAGTGAACTAAACACTGACTACAGGTACAAGTGTTTGAGGTTACAGTCAGGTGCAACAGACGGGACACTCCACGTTCTTAAGACTTGATAATACGACCATCTATAATACAAAATTCTATTGACAATGATCCCTAATGCTCGTATTACAGGTGTAAGTCAGGTGAACGTAATATGATGGCTTTCATTTAGGGTTCAAAGACCAGCGTTCAGTTCACAGGTGATCAGAGGTGGTAGAAGCAGGAAGATCGTCTCTCATTTGACGTGAAAGGCAAAATAATTTATCATCTCTCTCTCTCTCTCTCTCTCTCTCTCTCTCTCTCTCTCTCTCTCTCTCTCTCTCTTTACAGTACGAGGATTTATTGTTACTTCCATATTAAAACATATATCAGTCAATTGAGAATCACTTGTATATTAACCCCCAAAGCTTCTTTCACCTGAAGATTAAACCCCAACGCTTATTTTAACTATAGCTTAAACCCCTAAGCTTAATTTACCTGATGATTAACCATGTGAACGCTCGTCTGGTTCACACATTAAAAGATATACAGCAATTAGATGGGAGAGAAGAGTCTTACAGGCGAAGGAAGACTGAAATTAGTTAAGGGTTTACCTGACGGAGCTACAAGACCAAGAAGGTGACCACAGACCATCAACCTGAAGGTGGTGTCCTCAAGAGACGTGACCTCAGTTTCGAAACAGAATATAGTAACTTTAGTTCAGATCTGGGCTGAGGGGGAGGGGGGGGCTCGACACCACCACAGCCTTGGATATCTGTGAAGCATTGGTTGTGTGGACACGGTGGAAGGCTGTGATAAATATTGACAATAACGTAGAGAAGAAGGAGGAAACATCTCACAAACAGACCTGGAGCCTTGGTGTTGTACTGTCCCAAAGTCACTACTAGTCTATCGCGCCACCAGAGTGAGAACATAGACAGCATTTTATAGTTTACTAAAAGTATTTCTAAACAAAACAAATTAAGAAACTTAATAAGAAGCGATGATGACTGATTTTATCCTACGAGTTTTTACTTTATGTTTATGGTAATATATTCAAATTATTAAATTCAATATCCTGTACTGTATCTGGTTTACAATATACGATTGCAAGATTCAGGTCCCAAGCGATACCTGCTAGGCCAATAGTGAGTTCAAGTAACGCCTGGTGTTGTGTCCTGCCTGCACTACCACACGACACGCTGCTGTCAGATATTGTCCAGGTGAAATGCGGCTTCCGTCACATTGAACTGTGTGTCCTTACTCAACATACACACAGATGGACAATTCCACTTATTTTAATGTTTGTCAGGCGTTTCCTGTGTGTTTCCTTACCCTCAATGTGAGTGGTCATCATCACCTTGGACTCCTGACTTCGCCTAGTCCTGGGTTCGAGTCCCGCCAGTAAATATTAGTTGTACTGGTGTATATGGAGACTGCGTAGTAATTTTGATATGTATGGTGTGTGTCATGTTTTGGGCTGAACACTGTCCCTCCTTTCCTGCCTCTACTCCCCCTCGCTCCTGTCATAAGACTTTGAGAACTGTTGACTTATATACAAACTAGACTGAATGTATTTCCTTATTTATCTCCTCCATGAAAGTTCCTCTCAGGTACCTAATGAAAAAAAAGTATTTGATATCAATCATTAGTTTATTGTCATCGAAGGAAGAAGGCGAGGAGACGGAGAGACAACCTAACGTTACTCCTGGAGGTCACTAGTGTATACTGTGGGAAGATAAACTGTTACCTCACCTTCTATGCCTCGTCTGATCATCTCCTCCAGGTGGGTGAAGGATCCTACTTACGGCAGAGTGAGAAGAATTTTGGCTTTATATCATTAAGTCTTTACATTCTAA